CTATTTTCGGAAACTCCCATTTCTTCTTCGATGCTACAGTTTCAGCTTGGCCTGTTAGTAAGTAAGGGTGAGAGATCGTAGTTGCGAGGGTAGTCACCTTTAAGGAGTATTCCGTCGTTTGGTCCATCACATGGGTCGGAGTCATCGTGTTTCTCATCACTGTCATTTATCAGTTTCATCATGGTCTCACCATATCTGTGTCATGTTGCTATCGTTTTGTTGTGTTTCAAGTGTTTGTGTCATCATGTCTTTATCGTCTTCACTGAGTCCGGAGATGCCGGGCGGGGGGGGGGGGGGGGGCTCTGGAATTGTCGAACAGAGACAGCCTTTCGAAGTTTGCTGCATCATTCTCCACTACAGGATTCCTTGTAAGAGCCCTAATCAAAATCAGGTTCCGGTTGGTGGCTTGGGATGGCCTAGGGATTCGAGCATAGATTCCCCTCGGTGACATCCCAAAGCTTGAAACAGTGGGTTGAGGCTTTCGAGAACCTCGGGTCTCTGCTCCAGGGTGTCGAGTTTGTACTCCCGCTATACACCCTGAACGCAAAACCCAAAACCCGCACCCTAAACCTAAAACCCGCAGTCGGGAAAAGGTGTCAAACAAAAAAACAGCGCCGAAACCTAAAGGAAATTCGAGTATTCTCCCGGCGATATGCCTGGCACCCAGCCGCTGCAAGGGAAAACGGACTGAGGAGATGTCCCCGGGCTCTGTTTAAGAGGTTTAGGGTTCAGGGTTNNTAGTCGGCGGACGAGTGGCTAACTACCAGGCGTTCTTGCTTGCAAGCCTGCGGCAAAAAAGGGTTCAAGGAGACAGCTTTCAAACTTGTGAAACCACATGACGCGAGGATCGCAAGAACAAGCCTTCTTGTATCCCTGTGATAAACCCTAAACCTCTCTTTCACATACATATTAGTCCTCGTGGGCATTTGCTCGGCAGGTTTATCAAATGCGCGCATGGTGTACGAAAGGGTTCAATTAGTTTGTGCTGAATCAAGGGGTTTAGGGCTTATTCTGGGTTTAAGGATTGTTCTCGTGTTGCATCATGGTTTTCCAGCGTATTCTGGTCGCCCCAGCAATTGAAACCATTCTGTTCAGGATTTGAGCTTTATAGGTTTAGGTTTGAACTCGAGGGTTCAGGATTCAGGTTTTGAATCTCAGCCAGCAGCGCCGAGCTTCAGAGTGTGGGCGGACTCGCTGGCGGGCATTCAGCTGCAAACAGGGTTCAGGGTCTAAGCTCTAGGGTTCAATAGTAAGACTTAAGAATGCACTGGTATTCGAGTGTTAGGGGGGTCGCCGGTGGGCGGGATGATTTCAGATACCAAAGTAGCGAGCTCGACTAGTATCTGAAAGATCTGGAGCGGCTGAACCCTAAACCCTAGATAAACCCTAGCCACTGATCCTTGCCTGCCTTTTGCGACAGGGCCGACACCCCAAGCTTTGTCAGCCTCGAACTCTGTATTTTCTCCACCCTCACCCCGCTGAGGCGGCAAGGCGGACACACCATCAGTCGTAAACTCCGTATGTGCGGGATTAGGGTTTAGGTTGATAGGGCTGATATGACTCGATACGCCCCACAACCCCTAAACCCGTTAGGGTATTTAGGGCTTCTATATTCTAGAGTGTATACACCCTAAACCCATCCTAAGCCCCACGTCCTCCAACCCCCACGTCCCTAAACCCTAAACCCTAAACCCTTAACCCTAACTAAGCCCCACATCCTCCAAATCCCCACGTCCTCCCAACCTTGCCGTCGAGGTCCGATGTCTCGGCGAGCGCGTCGCGCACGCTGAGCGTAGAAGTCAGGAATGCCGGGCCCTGATTTGGGGTCGTTTTCTCAATTGGGGTCCCTTGTAGAGTTCCTTCTCGTAAGGGTGCTGTACTATCTTGAGGACAAAAGATGGGACTCTCATTTAGAGAACTGGGTTTAGGATTTCGGGTCAATTAGTGATTCAGGGCTTCAGTGGTCTAGAGTTTAGTTCAGGTTTTACTTGAGGGTGTTTTAGGGTTGTGAACAGAGGATATAAGTTCTTGGGTTTAGCCTTGATTCGGCCGAAACAGGCTTTTTGGTTGGGGGGGTTATGGTTTCGGGGTTTCCGGGCCTTTTTAATGTTTTCGGCTGGCTGTTCGGGCTTCGGTTTGGGTTTGGAGGGCGAGATATCAAAAAATCATCGGGGTTGGGAAGCTTTGTTTCCGTGCCCGGCCTTTTTCGCCCAAGAAGCGTAGACGCACAAAACATCACTGTAGAAGTCAGAACAGAACTAATCAGTGATAGTATCCCCTTATACTGCAGTCAGGTCCCTTTGTAGCATGATCTACCCAAAGACCTGGTGAAATGATTATAAAATATAGTAAACCCCAAAAAGTTGGAAACCGTGGATGAAGAGAGTTTAACGGTTTAGGGTTTAGGGTTGACTAGAATCACTTAGTGAGTAAGCGTTCGTCCTGGCGGAGTCGCAGCAGGCCAGTTGCAGAAGGGTTTAGGCTTAGGGCTGTGTCACAAACTGCTGACCCATCCACAGTACTATTGCGTACCATAGTTCCCATAGTTTACGATACCTCAGGTGACGGGGGATTTCGTCAGCGGCAGGGGCTGAGGTGTTCTTTCGCCTTTTCGGCTCCTGTTGCCCTGGAACCCGAAGGCCCCAAATTACTCGAACCCAGCAAAACCCTACTGTGCTGCCGTGGCAAGGAAGCATCTGCGGAAACCATTAGGAGTCACCTGAAAATGTATTGTGTCTCTCAACCTTAACCCTATATATATATATATATTCACATAATTTAACCCCTAATCGCCAGAAGCCTTTGCGAACAATGCAACTCACAAGAAAACCATTGCTTAGGTGGGCGACGCCGCAGGCAGCGACATCGTGCAGCTCTACCTTAGCGGCTTTGGCCTGTGGGACCTAATTTTTGAGGGTCCAAAGTACCATATGGCTCTGGGGTTTAGGGGTTTAGTGTTTCGAGTTCTAGGCGATTGCACAAGTCCTGATGCAAAAAAGGGTTTCGAGTTCTAGGCTTGAGGAAGGGCACACCATGTCGCAAGCTTGGGTACTTCGAGCAGCAGTGGGAGATTAGGAAGGTGAGATGGAGTCCTTTCAGGTTGCAAGTTAGGAGAGAGATGGCTTTCGAGCTTAGGACGTCAGGTTTTCTGGCTGTCTGAACGGTTTCTAAGGCTTTAGCTTTAGGGTTGGGCACATGGAGTGCTTCGTTGGGACCCTCCGGCTAATGTAGCCGAGATGATATTCTAATCCGTTTCTGGAGTTCAGTCGGACTCTCAGATTCAGAGCCAGCGTGTAAATTCCTGGAGACCCGCAAATAAAACCATTCCTAGCACATAACGAAGAAGGGATTCAGGCTGCAATGCCAGGGCGGCGGGGCGGGTGAAATCCAGATTTTTTGGGAGAACGCGTGTGTTAGCAATCTCGGAACTACCATGCTCCCTGAACCCTATGCTCCTGTCCGACAAGGATGGGAGTTCGTTCACCTCTCCCGCAACCAGAAACCGAAGCAAAGCCCTGAAAAGCTGAAGCTCGGAGCAGCCAATAGAACAATCAGCAATGCTATTCCTTAGATTTCCTTAGTATGCTGTGTTGTATAGCATAATGAACCGTATTATGCACCATTATTGTATAGAATACTATACCCCCAAAACCCGCTCCAATTGTTCAGGCCTTGGTCTTACTACCGGGGGAGGTTCTGGGACTTAAGCTTCAGCACTTTGGTGGCGGTGGCTAAAGGCAAGGACTGCGGATTTCGGGAACTGGGGACCTGGGAACAGTAGTAGATCCGCTAACTGGGACCCCATACAACTAGAGGGTGCTTTTGGTAGCTACTTTTCGGGTTAGTGCTCCCACCTGCAGGGAGCCCCGATCAGCGTCGACGGCAGCTTTTTCGTGCACATAAGGAGACATGTCGAGGGTATATCTTCTTTGGGACCTCAGATCGGCCTATCTTGGCTTATGACGGCATAATGTAGGGTTGAGGGTTTAGGAACACGTACATACATCCATGCATTCATTGGTTTCCATCGACCTGCACATCTGCAAAGTCTTATGCACGGTCTGGTCGGAAGATGCTTCGGTCCCATGCAGATCTGAAAATTTCTGAAAACATCTGCAAACCATGTCTGCCATGGCACTTCCTCCCGTGGCATGGGCCAATGTGGCCGCTGCACCTAGCACCTCGGCCACTTCCGCGCCGTCACGACCGGCGAGGCAGCAGCATTATGCACTGTTTGTGCTTTCTCCCTGAAGGCCTCGAACTTGTTTACGCACACGAAAGTCGTAAGACCCTAGTCCCCCTGCTGCATTTTCGCAAAAAACACCTCTCGTGATGTGTCATACTATTTTGCATTTCCGTGGTGGCTTTGGGAGCTCGTATGCATTAGATTGCCGTTGAACAGCAACACGCTTATGGCACCCCCGCATACTAGATCTTGTGGGAACCTGCTGAAAAAACCTTCTTGACCCCTTGCTTATGAACCCTGTAAACTCTTTCGACAGCAGCCAGGACCATGAGTCGCTGCCAGGGACGCACAGCATTGCTCACGGCGGCTGCGCTGCAGGTGAAGCATCTGGTTTGGGCTTCAGGGTAAGGTTTAGGATAACTTGATGCTACCCATAGGCCCCATAGTAGTTCCCTTTTTGGGGTTCATATATAGAATCCTATAAGGTATGACCCCCAAAAAGGAACTACTATGGGGCCTATGGGTAGATGTAGGTTTCATATTTAGGGTTTGGGTTTTGGGCACCAGCTTTAGTCTTCATGTCTCGTCTTCAGCTTGTGGGCTGTCAGGGTTTGGGACATGCCGCGGTCGACGAAACCCATAGCAGACAGAAAGTATCATCTTTGCTCTCACCACAGTTACTGACTACCAGGAGCCCAGTTGCCTTGTATAATCTCTTAGAATACTATGACTACATCTAGTAAGGTTTATTTGTGTCAGTGTGGAAAGGGCGCGCTAGGAAATACTTGTAGTGGTGAGTGTACCTGCTAGGTGTTACTATGGGGTACTCCACAAAGGGATAGATCGATAGAGCCCGGAGGTTGCATCGTCCTACATGGGTAGCTGTGCTTTTCGCGACGCCTTGCCAGACCTGGCTGTCCTCAGACTCCAAAACCTTTCAGTAAGGGTGTCACCCTCACATGTCGGTAACATCAGGACCCTAAGGGATATGGGATTGTCTGTTTACTTGGAGTCTGCACAGCGCTTGCAGATTGGTTGGCCGGCTGAGGTTTCTTGGCCTTGTGCAGTAGTCACATCTGGTGCGCTTGGCGCCAGGTTGCCCACAGCAGATGCTGCGCTTGCAGCTTGGGCTGCAAGCGCCAGACCGCGGCACGGTTCCTGAGTGCTAGTTAGTTGACTAGTTGATGGTGGCATACGTGCAGAAGCGCATGTCACTGTTCAGGAACGAGCATACTCCTGAAAACAACATGTGAATCTGTCCCTCATAGATCTGCTGAGAGAATCTCCAAGTCAACAGTACAATCTCAGACCCGGAATCAAATTACCTTTAGTTAAACCCTGCAACTTATGAACCCTGAGCAGAAAGTATCCTGCGAGCCCTATGCACCTTACCCTATGCCACTCAGGCCGATCAAGACAAAGGGCTTGTCTTCGGGCGCCCCAGGTGGTCCAGGCAGATCGGGTCTCGTATTGTTGCTGAATGGGCCATGACCTCTACTCTCGAGCAATTGAAAGGAATAGCCTATTGAAGGCAACTACTTTTTGTCAGTAAGAGCACCGGGCTTTGTGTCTTCGCTGTGACATCTTACTAAAACCCTCAAAGACAGTAACAGGTTGCCTAAACTGTAGTAGCACTAGACTTCCTACACCCAATCTCCCTGTCAGATGCGCAGCGGCGATGCAGCGACACCAGCGGCGAGCTGGTCCCTTTGGCAGATACCCTTTGGGTTGTCAGGCTCAGGGTTCAGGGCTTAGGTTTTTGAGGTTTGGGGCCTAAGGTTTCCAGTGCGTTGCGTAAGTTTACAGACAATATACATACATACACACATACATGCATACATACATACATGCACATGCACATAGACATACACATGCACATGCACATGCACATACACATACACATACAGAGATACATGTACATGTACATGTACATGTACATACACATACAGAGATACATATACATATATACATATATACATATACATATACATACAAAATCAGAGAGAGAGAGAGAGAGGGAGTATGCATACATGTCACATGTCAAACTACATTCCTTAACCTTGCTCGCAGAAAGACCTACTCAATGTTTGCGTGTTTTCCTGGTTGAGCTCTTTGGAATCTTTGGTTCCCAGGTGCCGGGGCTGCTCTGCTTTGGAGGATGCCGATGCTGCAGTGGCAGAGGTACTGGCCGAATGGCGCAGCGCCTTTGGGAAGGCTGCAGCGATCGATTTGTCTAGAAAGGTTTCATAGCCAAAATGGTACAGTTCGTAGAAGCCTAGGCGGACGCAGTGTTCCTTCAAGGACTTCCAGGCTTTCGGGTTCATGGTTTGAGCTGCTCGACTTGCATCACATGCCATGCCTCCAGGACAGCGTGTCCCAGACGAACCATGACACGGTCCCTGCAGCAAGCGAACCGCCTGTGCCGCAGCTCGGGAGAATTCGTGCCATCCCCCGCGCTGCCATGAAGAAATCGTACTTACCGAAGTTAGAACGAAGTTGATGTCGAATAGGCTCAGTCGGCACCGATGAAGTCACCGTCACAAGAGAAGCAGGTCAGATGTCCGATATGTTCCGGGTGCAAAAGATAGCCAAACATTCGTGACATTCCTGGCAGGGATCAGAGTGCCATGACGATGCCTGCTTGGGCTTGGGTTTCGGTTTTTGGAGCTACGGGCATTTTGGAGATCGAGGGATATGCAGTCATCAGCACATTAACTTAGGGCCAAGGATTTACGAGCGCTTTTCATTGTCTTGTTGTACAGGTTAGCCCCTTGAAAAAGGCCTCATCCATTGCAGTCTAGACCGAAGGTGCTGAGGTTCGAAGAGTTAGTCTATGTTACAGCCATCTTCCTGGGGGTTACTGGGGGGGGGGGGGGGCCTTTCATAGAACTATACTGTTAGTTTACCCCGAAACCCGATTCCCGATATAGATAATTCAGGCCCCTATCATAGTGGACAGGAGCTAAGGTTCGATATGGTCGACAAAGTCTGGCACGACTGGCGGGCTGGCAATTTCGGCGCAAAGTCGCTGGCGCAGGCAGCAGCACGACCGCAGGAGAGGCTTCCTATTTAAGGGTTCTTTAAAACAGGATCGGCGCTAAAGCTTGCTACAAGGGGCAGGATAACGGTTGAGTATGTTTCCGGAGTTGATTCAACGCCCTAACACATCCACTTATGTGGGTTTGGGGTAGAGGTTGAGCTTGCAGGCTTTATCATGTAGTGGCGTACAAGTCTTGTTCACTTGCTTGTGTAGTGGGATGGCTTTGAGCTTAGACCTCTGATCTCAAGGCAAACCTCAAGCACGCCAGGGCTCAGGGGCAGCATTGGGAGCATGACGGACACTTACAGTTTTGCGTTGTGGGGCTTAGGGTGTACAGAGCTTGGGGGTTTGAGGTTTGGGGCTTTACAGCTGAGATTGTGAAGAGTTTTACTTCTACTGGGTTTCCAAGCATTCTGACCTGCATGATACTATTGTACTTATTCAGGTTTTATGATTAAGGCTCCATTTCTGATGTTGACGAGACCCTAATGCTAAACCCTAAACCCTGCAATGCCTCGTCCGAGCTAGGTGGGAGGCAAAAAAAACCCTAAACCGGAAACTCGATCGGCGTCAAAAGGCTTTAGAATCTAGGGCATTTTCAGGTGGGTAGTTGTATCCCCTAAACTCCCCACCTGTTTCCTTTAATTAGAATGTTCTGCTCAAGGTCGAGTCTTTTGGAGATGCGCGGCTGCGGGAGGCCTTTGAGCTCTTCCCCGACAAAGGCCGGTGTTTGGAAGGGGCCGCTGCTTCTCCTGGGTCTGAGGGGCAAGGGTTTATAGGGTTTAGGGTGTGGTTGAGCCATGGGTGCTCGCTGGTGTGTGCACACCCAGGCGGTGCGTAGCAGGCAGCCCACCCCAAGACCACCCTGAGTTCAAGCATTGTGGGTTCAGTTCTAAAGTCTTCTATAGGCATCCTAGCGGGGGCTTACGGGGGTCGCATTCAGATGCAACGGGGCCCAGGCAAGATCGAAATGGCGCTAGATCCAAACGGAGACAACCAGCAGTGCAGTGGGCTTTCGGTGACTCTGTCGCTGGCGGGTGCCCGAAAAAAGGCAGTGGGCTTTCCATGAGCTGTGCTGGCGATGGTTCTCACAAACGGCTGCCCTTTTGCTTTCTGTAAAGCTGTCCGTGTCTGACTCTGTCTCTAGAGGATGCCGGAAGAGTGCTGGCGGGAGTCGTGAGGAGACAAGCAGCAACGCATGCGGGCTGTCCGTGAATCTGTTCCTTTCTGGATTGGGCTTTCTGTGAGGCTGTGCTGGCAAGAGTTGCGAGGAGACAAGCAGCAATGCATGTGCGTTGGTGAGCCTGTGCTGGTGGGAGTGGTCGGAATGGAGGAACCCCGAGATCGGCCGACAGCCCAATGCAAGTGAATCTGGGCTGTCAGCCTCCTGGAAGGCAATAGCCACCAAATCGTGAACGGTTGGGGAGGTCCCATCGCTGTCCTTGTGGGGAACTACTCCAATCGAACAAGAGTTGAGGGGGTCCTATGCTTGTCCTTTTGGGAAGCCACTCTGAAAAATTGGGGGTCCCATCCTTGTCCTTTCGGAGCCGCTCCAAAGCGTGAAGGGCTTTGGGGGATCGTATCCTCGTCATTTTGCCAAATCGTGAAGAGGTTTGGCGGGTGCAACCCCTTTCGTGGAGCCGTAGAGATGGGGGGAAACCCCAAGATCGGCCGACAGCCCAATCTGAATGGCGTTATTTTCAGCAGAATCTGGTAACAGAGAATCAGCTGTCAGCTTCCTGTAAGGGAACAGCCGCTAAATCGTGAAAGGTTGGGGGGGGGTCCCATCCTCGTGAATTTGGCACCGCTCCAAATCGGCACCCCTTGTCGCAAGGATCCACTGCGGGTCCATTTCCGGAGCCGCTCCAAATCGTAATGGGCGGCGGCCGCACCTTTGTCGTGCTCCTACTTGTGAGGGTTTGGGGGGCTCCTTGTCCTTGTGGTGGCCGCCCCATTTGGTGAGGGTTGGGTGTGCAATGGTGCAATTGTTGTCGAAATAATCCTTGGGCAAAACAAATCCCGGGTTTAGGGTTTATACCGTTGAGTACTCCATGGGAGGTGCCCGAGGGGCCGGCAGACATGGTGCCAGTCGCCTAGCTTTACTTGGGCTCTGCGTACGCGTTTTCTGCCGCTCGCGAAGCTCGGGCCGGCTACGCGGTGGCGGTTGTGGTTTAAGTGTTTATTTAACGATTCAAGGTTAAAGAAGGAGAACTATACACAACGGAAACTGAAACTGTAGATCCTGCATCGTCTCCAGGCTTCCAGTGCTTCCAAGGTTGAGAGGAACGGCGTTATACATCATACCATTGTCAGCCAGCTCGAAGCATTAAGCCATCATCCCTAAAGCTGTAAGTAGCAGTTTCCGACTTGTACAGGTGACCCTAATGCAGACTTCGCAATCCAATCCTTCCCTTACAAAGATCCACCAAAATCGGATCCTTAGCCATTCCCAATCTTTCCTTCGCAACTCACATCCCCCCCCAGACGCCTGCCGACCAAGAAACAAAACCCCTTAATAATGAAACCCTAACCAAGCCCCGCGAAGAGCCGCCCGAAGCCGTATGCCCGTGGTTGCCCAACCGCTCTAAACCCTAAAACCCTCCTCTCATCGATATGGGCTTCGAGCTGAACCTTAAACCCTGCTCAAACCGACTCCTCCAAACACAAATACAATAACCTTACACTCTCCAATGGGAAACAGAAGCCGGAAACCCCAGCTCTCAAGACCCTGCAAACCTTCAAAAACAGCGTAACTCCACGAGTCATAGGAGCCGACCTGTTTTACCCGCAGTGGCGCGGGTCGCTTCGCTGGGAGAAGCCTGGGAGGTCCTCCACGCATCCCCAGTTCTCCTTTAAGCAAATTAAGAAGTAGCAAAGTACTTGTATCCTATGAGACTTAGATGCGTTGTGAACTTGGCGACCTGAAGGTTCGAAGGTTTTGATAAAGGATCCTTGAGGGGGGTTGTTCAAGGGGGGAGGGTGATAGGGATCGCGGTCTAAGTTGGGAGAAAGGATTCATGTTTAGATGGGTCGGTGGCTTAAGCCCGAGACCGTATTCCTCAAGTCGCAGCCTTTGTTATTTTTAGAGGTGTTTGAATAAATAGGAACGGCCTCATATGCTTACACTTACACGATCATGTGCCCCAAACCCAAGGCCCCGATACCTTAAAGCCCAGAATCGTTTTTCATAGATCCCTCTTCCTATTTTGCTGCCTCAAAGCCCGACTGACCATGCATCCCTCAAGCCACAGGCCAGCACCGGATGAGGCATGGAAGGCGTCTTGGAACGCCGAGCTGAAACAAACGGTTCATTTTAGTATAGGGGTTTCAGTAATTAGTATATAGTACTAGTCCTTAGTCCTTCGGGTTCGTACAGCAAACTGAAAGCTCCAAACCCTATTCTAATTCATAAGGCCCTATATACTTCAGTCGTTTTGCTGCTTCCCGGTTCGGAGGTGCAAGGTTTCGACTTGGGGCTTAAATTGTCGGCAGGCATCCTTACTATACGGCTCAGGGGTTGTATGCACCGGCATCAGAGTTGATGGGGACAAGGGTTGGGGGTCTCAGGGTTTGCGAAATCCATGGGGCAAATCTTTCGCCATGCATAAGCTTATTGAGGTGTTCCCGGTATGCGGCAGCTCCGAAAAATGCTTTAAGCACATATTGCAAAGTTAGCCACCGGAGGCCGGAAGCTAAATCCCTACCCCTAGACTTCTAGTTCGTTGATTGATTTCAGAGGCCTCATGGTTTGCAGCACCTTGCAGACACCTTAAGCTCTTGGTTGAAGTCGATTCAAAGCATATCCCCCGTAAGGTCCCGAACACAAATCCTCAACACAATAAACCGAAAGCCCAGGCCACTTTCGTCCGAAATACTTAAACCCGAGGCTTCCAAACGCCGCGGGGCTGTGGCTTCGGATTTACGCAAGGCCGGGAAGTGTTTCTGCTTGTTCGTTTCTTTTGTTCGTGGTGTTTATGGCGACAGGAGCAGCATCCGTGGTTCTATGAAAAGTTGGAACTTTCGAGGCGTATCATTTGAGGGTGTGACGATGTATGACACCGCCGAATCAGAAATCACAATTTGAGCGGTTCGGCGCTCTCTGTTCCCGTTGCTTTGGATTTCTCATCATTTTGACTGCTTCCGTCAGGGATGTAGGTGATGCCCGTAGCTGCGCGCTTGCAAACTTTTCGGCCTCCGGGCTGGCGGCCAACTGGCCAAAAGTGAGTGACTACTTTGGAAGACACCCGGGAACTGAGAGCAGCTTCCTCACAATGCACACTTGGGCAGTGCGTCTTTGCAGTTCGTTTCTCCTCAACCCAACGGTCTTTGAACCCAACCAGGTGGTAGAACCCTCAAAAACTTTGGTCTCTTGCAACATCAAGCTTAGGGTTCGACTTTTCAAGCCGCACACATTCCATACGTAGAGGATGGTAGAGGCCTGGATGCTTCCAAGATTACTTCCTAGGGCTTCTCATTACATTTGCTGTGTGATCCATCCCAACACCCTAGTCTTAAACTGCAAACTCCCTGCTTTTGCAACACGCAAGAAGAAAGCCACACGAAAACGCTTCAGGGGGGTTAAAAGCCAAAAAGAAAACGATTAGTTAAGAATGATTTGGAAGGTTTGCAAATACGGGGGGCTGAGCCCCCCAACCCCCCCCGCTTCTTAAACTGCAATTTCCCCCGCTTTTGCAGCACACAAGAAGAAAGCCACACGAAAACGC